TTAAAGCAAAAAAATAGCTTAACTAGTAAAGAATGTCTGCCTTAAGCATTGTGCTCTTTTAAAATCTATCTATATAGGATCAAATTGACAACAACAACTCAAAAGATTAGATAGGGACCTTAGGGGACCGTGTGTTTACATTAATTGGGGGAGGAACAACTCAGAAAAAGAGGGTGAGAATGGTTGTACAACTCAAAGAATGTAATCCATGTCACTGGATCGAACATGTAGAAACTCTTGAATTGGTATATGTTTTGCTGTGTATATTCTCAACAACAACAACAAATTTTTTAAAACATTTAAAAAAAAAAAAAGATTTAACAGAATTAGTTGGTCCAAAGTATGTATTCCACTATTTCCTGAATGCTGTAGCATTTTATCATTTTAGTTATAATTGTTTACTGTTCTATTTTAAAATGATGGGTTATTGGTTGTGTTATACTGCTTTTGACCAGTTCAAAAAGAAGAAATATCAGTTCATATGCTCTGGAGGAGAGGAAATACTAAGATGACTCAGTAGCCTGGCAGAAGATTGGAGACAATACCACGTCTGTTTTTAATTTAATTTTTTGTGAAAATATACACAGCAAAGGATACCCTGGTTTGACAGATTCTACACGTACAATTTAGTGACATTGTCTACAATCTTCAAGTTGTATAACCATTCTCACTATCCTTTTCCAAATTATTCTACCATCATTAACATAAAGTCACTGCTCCTAAGCTTCTTATCTAATCTTTCGAGACATGTTGTCAATTTTATCCCACAGAGGTAAGTCTTTGAGAGATCACAATGCTCAAGGCAGACATACTTTACTAATTAGGCTAAACTGTTGTTTGGTTCAAAGCTGACTTCTGGGAAAAGTTTTGGTTTGAGGTTTAAGGTTTAAAGAGTATCTCAAGGCAATGGTTTCAGGTGTTCATCCAGCCTCAATGGCTCCAGAAGATCTGGATTCCATTAGAATTTTAAATTCTGTTCCCTTTTATCACCTCCTTTTGATCAAGATTGTTCTACAGAATCTTAGCTCAAAATTTTCAGTAATGATAGCTGGGCACCATCTAGTTCTTCTGGTTTCACAGACTAGAAGGCAGATGTTCACGGTGGCAGCATTTCCTCTTCTGATTCCTGACTCTCCTTCTTCCTCTGCTACTCTAGGTGAATGGAGACCTATTGTTGTCCTCTGGATGGCCGCTGACAAGCTTTTAAGACCCCAGGCGCTAAGCAATGAACTAAGAGATAGGAAAGAAGCACTGAGAAACAGTATTAGGCCAATTGACTGAGATGTCCCATAAGATCATGACCCTAAACCTCCAAACCAAAACAACAAATCCCATGAAGTGTTTGACTGTACATGAGCAGCGTCAGAGGCTATATTAAATATGTATTCCACAATGTTTGTCACTTCAGCATCTTTCAAAAGTACATCTTAGTGATATCAATTACAGTAATAGGTTGTGCAACATTTACCCTTAATCTGTGCCAAGTTTCCCATCATCAGAAACTCACTGCTTCCCAAATAATGGCTTCCCTCTTCCCCCTCCCTTCTGCCCCTGGTAACTGCCAATAAACTTTGGTCTCTATATATTTGCCTATTCTTGTCACTTTATATAAGTGATATCATATAGTATCTGTTCTTTTGTGATTGATTTATTTCACTTAACATAATGTCGTCAAGGTTCATCCATGTTATAGTATGTATTAGAACTTCATTTCTCTTTCTGGCTGCATAGTATTCCATTGTATGTATGTACCACATTTTGTTTATCCATTTATCTGTTGATGGGCATTTAGGTTGTTTCCACCTTTTGACAATTGTGAAGAGTGCTGCAATGAACATTGGTATACAAGTTTGAGTGTCTGTTTTCAAGTCTTTTGAGCATATTCCTAGGAGTGGGATTGCTGGGTCATATGGTGGTTCTATCTTTAGTTTTTTTGAGGAACCACCACACTGTTGTCCACAACAGCTGCACCATTCTGCAATCCCACCAGCAACAGATAAGAGTTTGAATTTCTTCGTATCCTTACCAACATTTGTTATTTTCTGGGTTTTCTTTTTTAATCTTAGCTATCCTAGTAGGAGCGAAGTGGTATTTCATTATGGTTTTGATTTGCATCTCTCTGATGGCTAATGTAGGGTCACTATGAATCAGAATTGAATCGATGGCAACAAGTTTGGTTTCTTGGTTTGGATGGCTAATGACATTGAGCATCTTTTTATGTGTCTGTTGGCTATTTGAATATCAACTTTGGTGAGATGTCTATTCAGATCCTTTGCCCATTTTTCGATTGTGTTGTTTGTCTTTTTCTGGTTAAGTTGTAGGAGTAATTTATTTATTCTGGGTATTAGACCCTTGTCTGTTATATAGTTCCCCAAAATTTTCTCCCATTCTGTAGGTGGTCTCTTTACTTTGTTGGCAAAGTGAGGAGACAATCCCATGGTTATGAATAGAGAGCCCTCTATGGGCCAGAAATAAATAACAAAAGACCTACTATGCTGCAGTGGAATGAAATGAGAGAAAGCTGAAGAGATGAACTTGAGACTGGGTCTCTCAGCCTAGTAGGATCCGTGCAGCTCCAGAAATCAAGACACTTTCACTATCATTTTCACACATGGCTGCTATGCTGCACAACTCTAGGAAACATCATACTTCACTAGAACACAATGCAAATGGCACCACCTGGACTTTTGTCATAGCATGACCCTACACAGAGTGAAATGGACTAAGGAGGAAAGGATCGATCAAAGCCAGGACAATGTAATTTACCAATGATTCCTGAAGGTAATTTGAGCTTGTTGTAGAAATAGGAAGAGAGTTGATTTCATGAGAAATCTAGAAGTAGCAGTCCATATGGGAATTACCACAAACAAAGATTTAGAGGCAGCAGTAGGCCCTCTCTATGCAGAGGTGCCTGGGCAAAGATCACCTCTATAAAAGAAGAGTGGTGGTACCAGGCCCTCTTGGGAGATTAGGGTGGAATGATTTGAAAGCTGAACTGAGGATATAATGAGTGTGTTGTGCAGAAGAGATGAGGATACTTGCTGAGAAAACCTGTTGGGGAAGATAAGGGAAGTAGACTGGAGAGGGAAATGAGGGGGAGGTAATTGCACCTAGGAATTGGAAGAGGGGAGACAGAACTGAGTGGATATGGAATGATGACAGAAGATGTGAAGAGACATAGTTGCCTGTACACTCTATCCTTCTATCTCTCTTCTCCCTTGGCTTCTGGGACCTAGATCCCATTTCTCTTCTTACCTCCCAGACTAGATTTCTCGTTTTCTAGCTTCGCTTTCCCCTTTTATATATCTCAGGGTATCCTTGGCCTCCTACTCTTCTCTCTACTTTTTTCCCTTGTTCATAAATTTAACTCATAGTAGATCATTAAAATTAAAGATCTAACCTTCTTTTTGGCCTTTCCAATTGTCTGTTTAATTTCTTCCCATAATTGCTCTACCATTTCCCCTCAAACTTAAACAAACTTCCCTCCAAATCTTTGTACTTCTAGCCCAGTCATGTCCAGACTCAAAACCTCAGATTCATCTTTGATTCTCCCTCATCCCCTCCCTTTCTTTTGACACTCAGTCAGTCTTCAAGTTCTTTCTATTGTTCCACTCAACCAATAAAATTTCTAGGTAGACAACTCAAAGATCCTGTGAGTCTATGGTCTCTGTAGCTATCTTAAAAATTCCCTCATTATCCACCTCAAAGAACCAAGTTATGAGTTGAAATTCAACTTCCTGTCTGTGAGTCAGGGACTGGGACATTAAGAAGGTTGGAGGCATCAATAGGTGAATTTGTACAGATCACACATGTCTGTTTCTAGATTATTAACCTTATTGTATATGTCATTTTTTGGAAATATATGCGGCATAAATAAATTGAATGTATAATATTCTTGAAAACAGCCAGTTTCTTTATCTGTCCTTTCTTTTTCATTCCATCAGATTCCATCCTAAGCCTTCACTGACTTTTACATTTTGTGATTAAGCTTTTTAACCACTGTTTTTGCTGTAGCCACAGTCCTGGGCTTTGATTCCTCCTACCAATTGCAATTTGATGCTGTTGCATTTTGGTTACAAGTCATTACTTTGTTAACCTCTCCAACTCTCATTTTCCTCCGTTATAAAATGAGGATAGTGAAACCAACCACATAGGGGTATTGTGAAGATGCAATGAGATCATAAATTTAAAACTCCTTATATAGTACTTGGCCTACAGATTCCTTATTTGTCAATCTATCTTCAGTGTCTAGCATTGTGAGTTATATGACACCTTTCAATGGTGCTAGGAAGAAGTAAAAATAAAGGGGATGGTTTAACAAGGATCCTGGGAAAGGGCTGAGAGAAGAGTGAGATACACTTGGAGAAGGGGACATGGCAGAGGGTGGCCAGGGCTGGGAAGTATCACAGGAGACGTTATTGGAGGTGGCCTCAAGGATATATTGGTTGGGGAATCAGAGAAGCCTCAGGCCAATAGCCATTGTTAAGAACCAGATTCCTCAGCCCCCTGGGTTCAGTCAGCCAGAAAGTTTATAATGTAACTGAAAGAGGCTTAAAGAAATTCTTGAAGGAAGCATTGATTGGAGGAAGGAATTTCAGTTCCAGGAAAATATTTTTCTTTTCTCCCTGGGAATATGAATAAGGAAGTTGGAAACAAAGTAAGGCCTGTTCTCCCACCCTCTTCCCTCACCATGCTTATCAACTTTATTATTTAATCAGTTTAAAAAAAAATAGATATAAACTGATCCTTTGGGAAGGAAAAAAGGGATGTGAGGGATCAAAGGGGGAGAAAGTACAGGTTCTAACATTCAATGGGGAACCGTTCATTATGGACCACCCAAGAGTTGTGCCGCTCGGCAGCTCTGGGCATTCTGACCACACAGCTTTAGGGACAGTCTTGGGGACAGTCTGTTTATCAAGGGATGTGGCCCAAGGGGGATGGAGTACTCAAAAGTTACTTAAGGTGAGCAGAACTTTGGGGGCTGAGGTGGGCAAGGCGTCTCAGATGGTCACAGTGTTCTCCACCATGCTGGGCCGAACGTACTTATAGGGCAGGTCCAGGCTGGCATTCTGGACCTCAATCTCCTGGTCCATGGCAACCAACTCCTCCTGGAATTGCTTCAGCACAGCTTAGGGCTCAAGGCCTGAGAAATATTATTCTTCCTTGTGCTGCCCCGAGGCCACCTGAGGGGGAGAACAAGATGGCTCAGCTCCCTGGGGCCCTTAGCCAAGAATACTTCCCCTCACTCAAGTTGAATCCTTCCCCAGGACCCAGGCATCTGTCTCTAACCATGACAGGCTGGCATCAGCCAAGGAACTTGGTGAAAGTATTCTGCATACGGGCCTGCTGGAGAGTGAGCAGTGAGTCCACTATGTCCTTCTCTGTCACATCCTTGGAGATGGACAGGGGCTTCCGCATGGTGCATGGGCCATTAGGGATCCAGCAGTACCAATCCAGCTGCAGGTAGAAAAGCCACTCAGAAATCCAGATTGATGACCCAGACATCTGATCCCCCATCTTCTGCATCCCAGGAGACCCTGGGGGATGATCACAACAGGTTACCTGGCCCAGGTGGGCAGAAGCATGCTGACCAGTGCACATAAAGATGCACATGGTGACAAAATGGCAGAGCTGGTCCCAGGACTTTAAGGAGACAGGGAACCTGGGTGAAATGAGAATTAGAGGCTTCGAGGCCAGGACATGAGACAGGTCTCAGGCAGTGACCAAAAATTTGGAGATTCAGAAAAGAATTTGTCTTGTGGTCCTGGCCTCTAGATTCTATAGCTCACACATAGTGGGTAAGTACTCAAATGTTTATGTGCTTGGCAATCGCAAAAGGACAAATATTGTATTATCTTACTAATATGAAGTACCTAGAATAAGCAAATATACAGAGATCAGAGTTTAATAGTGGTTACCAGGGGCAAGGGGAAAGAAGAGTGGGGGGAATTATTGCTTAGGAAACACTGAGCTTTTGTTTATGGGGATGGAAAATTTGGCAAAGGTTATTGGTAACGGTTGCACAACTTGATTGATGTAATTGATCTCACCGAATTATATACATGAAAAATGTTGAATTGACAAATGTATTATCTATATTTTTACAACAGTAAAGAATTTAATAAAAAATGTTATGGACTTGGGATGAAACTTGGAGCTATGGGGAGAAAGTGGGAAAGGATGAGGGAAAATACTTAAGAAAAGTTGTATATCTGGGTTGTAGAAGGAGCTTTTAGTGCATGATCATGGAGAACACTACGCAGGGTAAGAAAGGAAGGGGGCTGGGGAAATCAGGAGTGATCTTCAGGATTTCTGGAGAAGCTCTGGAGAGGTATCGGGTCCTCAAGGCTGGGTGGCGAGAAGATGCGGATTCTTGACAGACAGATGTGAGTTGACACAAGGTCAGTGGGTGTGATGGTTTGAATTATGTCCCCCAAAAAATGTGTGTATCGATTTGGCTGGGCCATGATTCCCAGAATTCTGTGGTTGGCCTCCATTTTGTGATTGTAATTTTATGTTAAAGAGGATTAGGGTGGGATTTTAACACCACCCTTACCCAGGTCACATCCCTGATCCAACGTAAAGGGAGTTTCCCTGGTGTGTAGCCTGCACCACCTTTTATCTCTCAAGAGATAAAAGTAAAGGGAAGCAAGCAGAGGGTTGGGGATCTCATACCACCAAGAAAAGAGCACCAGGAGCACAGCGCATCCTTAGGACCCGAGGTTCCTGTGCAGAGAAGCTCCTAGTCCAGGGGAATATTGACGAGAAGGCCGACAGAGAGAGAAAGCCTTCCCCCGGAGCTGACGCCCTGAATTTGGACTTCTAGCCTACTAGACTGTGAGAAAATAAATTTCTCTTTGTGAAAGCCATCCACTTGTGGTATTTCTGTTACAGCAGCACTAGATGACTAAGACAGTGGGGAAGAATCTGTGCCTTACTCTCTGTCCCAGGCCTCCTGCAGTCCAGTCTCAGTGATCTCTCTGCACCAGGCCTGCAGCTCTGGATCATCCTTCACGGCTTCGTCACTCTTGTAGAAAAGATCCCCTTCACATACCTACTCCCCAGTGAAAAAGACAGTCAATCTTAGGAGGTCAATATAGGACCTTCTGGACCTACAATCCCTCTTGTTTTTCTACCAGGCCTATGGGGCCCTTTCTCTCTTTGTTACCCTCACCTGATGATTTCCCAAAGCCTGAGGGCATCTTGGCCATAGAAAGATGACTGGGGTGGTGGGTGAACAGGGGGTCACAGCACCTGGAGTTCTTTCTCTAGCTGGACCTTCAAGTCTTCCATCCCTGGAGGTAGCACCAGCTGGGCTGGGAGGCTGATGGAACACCTCAGGAGCATGGGGTTTGCACTGTTGAGGAATTGGTACCCAAAGAGGGCATCATCCTCCCAGGAATCAGGAACCCGCTCTAGCGGCATCAGCTGAGGAGCACGCTGTGAGCTCTGAGCTCCTCATCCCACTGACATGCCTAAGCTACCCTTTCTCCCTCTTTATATATACATATAAATATGTATATAGTTTCAGAAGGTTGTGTAACTAACCAGCCACAGCAGTCTTTTCACACGGGAATGTTTTGTTGAAATCTTTCAATCTCTTTACAGATTTTATGAAATCCAATGTCCCCTTGATGGCCAAGTCCTTCAACCTGTGGAAAGAATGGCAGTGCAGGAAGATCAAGAAAGGATCCCACCTCCCCACCCTGGAATGCAAAGTGCCTGGCCTCGACCCAGCGCTCACACTTTCGCCAGACTGAAATTAAAGTCAAAATCCTTATCTTCGAGGAATCGCTCCTTCCTGGGAAGGTCCCACTGCCTATTCCCTGCTACAGGCAGGATTAATCCGCCTTTCCAGAAGCCCCACCTGGAGAAAGAATCAGAAGTAAGCGGTGCGGCAGATTTCTCGGAGTCTTGTGGAGGAGCAGAGGCTTTCCCGGGCTCACCGACAAACCTTCCTTCTCTCCTCAAGTTCCTGTTCGCAGTGTCTCTTAAATAGGTTCTGGGGGTCATCACGGACCGTCCGGGCTGGGGCAGGCGGAACACAAGAGCACAATCCTCCCTCGACACCCTTCGGCCCAGTTCACCACCTCACCCCCACCCCCGTCCTCCTCTGCTCCATCTCTTTCACCTCCCCCCTCCCCCATCTCATCTTTCCCTCTTACATCATAGCATCCCTCCGACCCATTCTTTCTCCAGCCCTCCAGATGTCACCCTCCGCCCCTCCATCACCAGCGCCCTCGGGTAGACAGAGAATCCCGTCGCCCTGCATCCAGCCGTAGCAGGGGAAGAGGACCTCGCCTTGAGTCCCAGGACCCTGCTCTCCGATCCACTTGCAGAACCAGTCGAAATTCAACAGTCCCCTGTACTTCCGCAGCTTCACCAGCAGGAGGCGCCCCAAGGTGTAGGGAGACTTCGATCTCAAAACTCCGTTTTCTACCGGATACGACAGAACCCAGAGGCAGGTTTGGGAGTCTTCAGAGAGGACGCCTGGTCAGTGATCACGCCCCAGGAAAGACCTGACTTCGGGTCGGAGTAGCTCGGTCTGTGGGGCTCCAGCCCCTGGTCCGCTGCCGTGCCCGAGAAACTGCTGCGCGCCCCAGCCGGAGTCTCATCTCTTCTCCTTCCAGCCAAGCAGGGAAATGCCACTCTCTCTCCCGGTGCCTCTCGCTTTTCCTTTTCCTACCAGGCAGCCCACCCTCACCCGGGTCTCACTCCCTGGCCCCGCGTCCCAGGCTCTTCTTGCCGCTGAGGTCTAGCGTCCCGGGCTCCTCCTCGTCGCCCCCCCGTCCCCGGCCCCCCATCCCAGACCCTACCTCCCCTGGCCGAGCCCGGCTACGGCCTGCACCGACCTTGCCCCACACTGGCCGCAGATGCTTCCCGAGGTCTGCCTCCCAGTGCTCGCCCACCAGCCACAGCTGCACCGGGTTGCGGGAGCCCTCAAAGAGCCAGTCCCCAGTGGCCACGCGGATCGTGTACTTGCCCATCTTGCCCAGACTTGAGCGGGACTGGGGGCAAATCAACAATTAATAAGATCTGAGACCTAGCCCCGAGGAGGCCACACCCAGACCGAGTCCGTGTTGTGTGGGGGTTCCAGGTCCCCCTTCCACCCCCAGGATCCTCCCCTGTTCCGATGTAGGTGTCCCGCTCAGTTACTGTCTCTGTACTCAGGGTTCTCACAGTAGCTCCGAAAGGCTCAGCCTCACCCGTGTGCACTTGACAAACACTCCCTGACACGAGTTCCACACCCTGCCAGGACCTGGACACGCTGGCCCCCAGTCGATCACAGTTAAACACTAGCGGTCACCCCCACCCGATTTTGGTGAATAAATGGATAAGATAGCGACAGGCCACGGAGATGGGGGAGTGTTTGCAATAAAAAGTGAGTAAACAAGCCATCTTGGCAAGGATGCAGGGCTTTTTGTCGACAAGAGAGAATTGTGGGGAGGGGAAGTAGATGCGGTTTGGTGTCTAGCCAAGAGGGGGAGTTTAGAATTCCCTTTCTGGTTGCGTCATGAAGCTTTCCATTGAGCGATCCTGATACTGGCTCTTTGGGGCCAGCACCCACCTCTGAGCACCTACCATGTGCCCCTTCTTTCAGGAACCCCTTCTTCCCCACTCCGCCTTCCAAGCCTTTGCTCTCCTCCTCCTCCTGAGGAACTGTTGCTGTTGTTGTTCTTAGCTGCCCACAAGTAGATTCTGAGTCATGGCAGCCCCGTGTGTGCAGAGCAGAACTGCTCCATAGTGTTTTCAAGGCTGTGACCTTTCCAAAGCACATCACTAGGCTGTTCTTGCAAGGTGCCTCTGGGTGGGTTCTTGCTGCCAACCTTTCAAGTCCTTAAGCCTTTGGGCCACCTAGGTACAAATCCTTCTCAGCTTCCTTCTTTGTTGTTTTTTTTTTTTTTGTTGTTGTTTTTATTGTACTTGTTTACAGAACAAATAATTTCTCATTAAACAGTTACTACACATATTGTTTTATGACATTGGTTAACAACCCCACGACTTGTCAACCCTCTGCCTTCTCGACCTTGGGTTCCCTATTACTAGCTTTCCTGTCCTCTCCTGCCTTCTAGTTCTTGTCCCTGGGCTGTTGTGCCCCATTAGTCTCGATTTGTTTTATAGGCCTGTCTAATCTTTGTCTGAAAGGTGAACCTCGGGAGTGACTTCATTACTGAGCTAAAAGGGTGTTTGGGGGCCATACTCTCAGGGTTTCTCCAGTCTCTGTCAGGCCAGTAAGTCTGGTCTTTTTTTATGAGTTAGAATTTTGTTCTACATTTTTCTCCAGCTCTGTCTGGGACCCTCTGTTGTGATTCCTGTCAGAGCAGTCGGTGGTGGTAGCTGGGCACCATCTAGTTGTACTGCATTCAGTCTGGTGGAGGCCATGGTAGTTGTGGTACATTAGTCCTCTGGACTGATTTTCCCCTAGTATCTTTAGTTTTCTTCATTCTCCCTTGCTC